GGAGAATGACAAATACCAAATGATTTCACTCATCTGTAGAGCATAAGAACAAAGCAAAAACTGAAGGAACAAAACAGCAGCAGACTCACAGAACCCAAGAATGGACTAACGAGTTGCCAAAGGGAAAGGGACTGAGGAGGGTGGGTAGGAAGGGAGGGAGAAGAGGAATAAGGGGTATTACGATTAGCACACATAATGTAGGGGGGCTCACGGGGAAGGCAGTATAGCAGAGAGAAGACAAGTAGTGACTCTGTAGCATCTTACTACGCTGACAGTGACTGTACTGTATAATGGGTATGTGGTGGGGACTTGATAATGGGGGGAATCTGGTAATCACAATGTTGCTCATGTAATTGTCTATTAATGATACTGAAATAAAAAAAAGAAAAAGAAAACTAGCCTAGAAATATCACACAGGGGAAAATACAGAATCAGTTTTTTCTTAACTTCTTAAGAATAAGAAGCTAACAACTCAGGTATCCTTGAGATTCAGTTATAAAATCACCACCAAAGCCCCAGGCAGGAAGTGATGTTCTATTAGAGTCAAAACAGGGGCTCAGTAAATATCCTAACTGGGTGAATGAATGAAAACAAATGAATGGATGATGGCCACAGCCATCATAACAGATCACTTCTCATGCCACAGTAGTGACCCACCACCTTGATCTTATACCTTCAAAACCAAGAACCATCCATAGCTCAGCCTCCCACCTAGAATGGTAACCCCTGGAAGGAATGACCTAAGTCACTTGACCCCTCGACACCTTACAGAGCTTAACACCAGGCCATGTTGCAGCCACATAGGACATTTTGGGGCCTGATTTCCAGGGTATACTAGTGTTTGTTCCTCAAGCAAGTTCTGCCCTGTCTGGAACCTTGTGTCTCCTACTTTGTACAGCTCACTCCTTATCACTTCAATCTCAGCAACTCAGGAAGGACATGCCTACCAGCCACAATTTCATTTATTGATTTCAATTCTCTGCATGCCTCTTGGGTGATTATTTGTTTGCTTACTGCCTGTTTCTGCCCAGTAAACATTTGCTCCCTGAAGGCAAGCCCTTGTCTGTCTCGCTCATAGTTAAAAGTGCACAGAGCCTGACACAGTGCCTGGCACAAAAGGATATAGCTGTTGAATGAATAAATCCATTTATTAACTCTACACCTAGAAATAAACACACGATGGGTCACACTAAACCACCCCCACCCACACACACTCACACAAAGGGACACCAAAAGATCTCATTCCACACAAATCAGGGTATGCCATCATACTCATTCGAAGGCCCTGCTCCTAGGGGCCACAGGCAGAACCAGTCAGGGCAGGATCACAGCGGCTTTGGGCAGAGACAGGTCTGCAGTGTGCCAGTCGTGGGCACAGTCTCTTTGTTGCCATCCTGCTAACTTCCCCCATCCTCTCTGTCCAGAACTCAGCCCTGGCAAAGTACAGGACCCCAGTATGAGGCCAGGAAAGAGAAAATTATCTAAGGAAGCCAAAACCAAACAAAGGTCCTCAGAAGAGCTACAGAAGCAACAACTTGCTATCTTTTTTTATTTTTTTTAAGTATTTGTTCAAAATGGCAAAGTGGGTGAGAGCTTCTTAGGTGCAAAAAAGTGTTTCCATGGGGAAGTATATTTTTAGCAACCTCAGTTTGGCTATTTAAAAAGGGTCACTGTAAGTCAGAAGAGAGGTGACCCTGAGAAAGAAAGGATCAGTGTACCAAGAATGAAGCTCCTGGGAAGAGCAAGAAAAACCTCTTCAGCCAGTATAAGAACGTGTGCACAAACCCAGCGCACCCAACATCCCACCAGGGTTCAAAGGAACTCATCTTCCTCTCCCACTACTTCCCTCCCACCATACACCAGACTAGGGGCCCCACCGCCCTCTTTTGCAATGTTTGCTCTTCTGGGGTGCAGGAAGTTGGGCACCTAGCCTTCTACAGCACCTCAGTGAAAGGCAGTCATAAACGCTTCTCCCATTTACTGAGTCCTACTGCATGCTCGGGTGCAGCACCATCTCATTCAACACTCACCTCACCTCAAGGATACCCACGTGCAAATGAGGAAACTGAGGCAAAGATAAGTTAAAGTCACCCGAGGCGAAATCAGGGGCGGGGCCTGGATTTAACATTGGGCTTGTAATCACAAGCTATGCAGCCTACTCGATTTGAGCCTCTGTAGGCAGGCGCCAAGTTTTGGCTCTGGGCACCCCCAGGAAAGGCCACAGAGGCCGAACCGCTGACGGAGAACCTTGGAGCGTCACAAGATAAAGAGGCAGCATTGCCCTCCGGAAATGGTCAGTTTAAAACGTTGCCCAGGCGGTAGGGGAGGTGTTGAACGAGGGCTAACTGGTCAGCAATGCCATTTGGCATAATCCTTCACACAGCTGGGTTGGAGTGCGTTCGTTTCCTGCGCATCCAGGCCAATAAAGGGCCTTCTAGGCTCGAAACAAGGCGCTAGGTACCGGGAGGGGGAGCAGACGGGGTTATTCTCTAGGAGCGTGGTGACCTAGGTGGAGGAGGGGAGTCATCTCAGGCCCCAGGACCGAGGCAGGTCATCTCGCCACTTTAGGAAGTGACCCGTCCATTCCCAAGCCGCAAGGGGCGTGGGGGGGAGGGGTCACGCCCCCGGTACGGAGGTGGCGGGATGGGCAACATCTCGCTAACTATCCCCTCAGCCCCGCGGCCGCCCGCGCACACTTACTTGACTTCACCTCGTCTAAGTTCTGCTCCGATCCAAGTCCAGCGGCCTCCCTAGCAGAGCCCCTGGCCCGCCCAGGCCCTCGGCTCCGGGTCTCCTGGGCTCACTGCTCGGAGGCAGCAATAAGGCGGTGCAGCGCGGGCGAAACCTACGATTTTCAAAACTGAAGACTCGACCAATCCCTAGCAAGTTTGGCCGGGCGACTGTAAAACTCCAAACCAATCAGGTAAAAGGAAGCGCCATACGGGCCACGTACTGGCTACTTGGTTTTAGCAGTCTGCGGGACTAAGAGGCCAGGAAATGAAGCGTTTAAACTTTAACTTGCTCAGCTTCCGGGAGCGACTGCCCCACGGCCGGGAGAGGAAGTGGCTCGCGGTGGGTTGTGCGCGGGCAGGACCTCGCACGCCAGAACCAGAACTACAAGCCCCAGCATGCACTGCGAAGCCTCCGCGGGCCGTGGGAAGCGTTTGAGGGACCTCTGCGGGGCGCAGCTCGGGCGGTCGGGGTCGTAGGCAAGAGGTCTTGCTCTTCCCGAGAGCCTTACGCTTTTCAGTTTTCTCCTCCAGACGGAATGATGCCCTTCCGACCTCTGTCATTTTTGAGAAATAAAACGAACAAACAAAAATACGCCTTGCAAATCGCGGTGGAGTTCGTATTTACGTAGAGCCCCTTTCTCCCCACCCCCTCCCATCTGTCATCTCTTGGGTGACAGCAGCCTGGGTCCCACCTATACTAGACACAAGTATTTCTTTGGAATAGTGGTTTTGAACTGGGGAAGTTTTGACTTCTCCGTTCTTCTGACGGATAGTTCATTTGGCGCTGTATGAGTATCTTTTGGATTTTTTGTTTTCATAAAGGATGGTGGTGCTATTGGCATCTACTGGGTAGAGGCCAGCCATGCTGCTGAACACCCTACGGTGCACAGAACACCACCCCCACCCAAGAATTATCCAGCCCCAAATGCAAGTATTGCCACGGTTGAGAAACTGCTTTAGACTGTCACTTTAATCTGAGTCAGAGTTGGGTCACCTGTAAAATAGGCAGTTAGATCTCAAAGAGGTATTTGTACCTCCATGCTCATTACAGCATTATTCATAACAACTAAGAGGTGGAAGCAACCCAACTGTCCATCAGTAGATGAACTGACAAATTGTGGCATATATATAAGTGGAATATTACTCCACCTTTAAAAGAGAAGAAATCCTGTCATCTGCTACAACTTGAATGAACTTTGAGGACGTTATGCTAGGTGAAATAAGCTACTCACAGAAAGACAAATACTGCATGGTTCTTTTTATATGAGGTATCTAATGCAGTCAAATTCTTAGAAACAAAGTTGAGTGGTGGTTGCCAGGGACTGAGAAGACAGAAAGGGGGGCTGTTCAGTAAACAGGTTTTGGTTTTGCAAGATTAAAAGTTCCAGAGATGTGGAATTGGTTAAAATGGTAAACTGTATGTTATGTGTTATGTTTTGACCACAATTTAAAATAAAGTTCAGCTGGATCATCTCTTTAGTTCCTACTTTTCTGTGGCATTGCTTTATTTTGAACTTTCTATCCCTCTTGATGGAATGGACTGAGTTCTTCTCTAGTTCCATTGTGTCCTTTCCCAGGGGAACAGTACTACTGGCACCCACCCACCCTGCTCCCCACCCCATCCCACCCTGCTCCAGCCACCACAGACCAATTCTTTGTTGGCCTCAAATCTCTCTTTAGTTTTCTCAGAGATGAGAAAACTACTCTGCCTCAGTTTCATCCCCCCAAATCATGCTTAACTTAGGGGCATGAACATGGAAGGATGGCCTGAAATGAGG